CCCGCGAACAGGCTCAGGGCGGCTTACATGGGGGCACAGCCCATACATAAAAACAGTATAAAGCAGTAAAAACTATTAAGTCACAACAAAAACAAATAAAGTGCTCCATACAACATGATGGTCTCTGAAGATGGTATCGATCATTTCATTAGGGTGAAATTGTCCTGTCGATGGTCCAAGCTAGTCCAGCAGCATCAGTGCCATGCAGAATTATGGCAGTTCTTCCGGGGACCACTCCCAGCCCCGTTGTTTCAGTTATGGTAGTAATAGAGGTGGCAGAGGTGGCGGCCCCTATATAAAAGCCTTGCGGAAGAGCTCCGTCTTGCAGGCCCTGCGGAATTGCATAAGGTCCCGCGGGGCCCTGATCTCCGGGAGCTCGTTCCACCAGGTCTTTCAATGAGCAAGGAGTTTGGAAGGTTACTTCCTATACTTAATAAGTCTGGCACAAGAAACTGTTTAGTCTGCTGGTGTAGGACAGCAAGCTTACTCACACTGTTGCCAGGTAAGAGGTTGGGGGAAAATATTTGTACAAGAGTCCGTTTCTGAGAATACGTTCCTCAGTCGTTGCTTCAGGAAGCCAGTTTGCACACACATACTTTATTGACATATCGAAGTCAACCCAGGTTGCTTTTCACAATGGATTTTTTGCATATGGAATAGTTTGGCATGTCTCTAGGTGTGTGACTCACCACATCCTGGTTCAGCCCTCTTTCCAGAGATGTTTCAGGAGGTGACAAGTTGCAACCAGGACACCCGCAGTGCCGTCTGTCATATCCTCCCCCACTTTACCAGCAGAAAGACCCATCAGAGATTCCTCAGAACAGAGGTCCCCAACCTTCTTGAGTCTGCGGGCACTTTTAGAATTTTGACATAGCATGGTGGGCACAGCCACAAAATGGCCACCACAGGAGACGGAGACAGCCACAAAATGTCTGCCCTAGGTTACCTTCGGTCACATTGTGAAAATTCTTGTCCTGCAGGGGCAGCTGCTGTACAGCCAATCAAATCCCCGATAGCTGATCAGAAGCCTTCCTCAGCAAAAGCCATGCCTGGCCATGCCCACTTTCTAAAAACACTTGGCAGGCACCAAGAAAGATATTGGTGGGTACTAGGGTTACCAAGTGGCACTTACCTTGCCGGCGGGGGACTCCCGGGTGGATCCCGGCGCGCGCCGCACACAAGTCACCAGGAAGTGACATTATGACACCGGGCATCCTGGGGGCGGGGCCATGACCATACAAGGGAAAACCATAGAGTTTTCCCTTGTATGGCCGTGGTCCCACCCAATGTTCCCTCTAAGCTATGGAGTCCTTTGAGCAAAAATTCTCCTTTGTGAACTACTAGCATTAAAGTTGTGAGCAGTTGATTTAGCTACTGCATATGTTAGTTTGCTCTGGAGCCCTCCTTCCTGAGCTAAGACAAAAATGAGTGAGCTGGAGGCTAAAAAACTGTGAGCTAGCTCACACTAACTCAGCTTAGAGGGAACGCTGGTCCCACCCCCAGTGTGCCCGCGTCACTTCCTGGTGACGTGCACGTCGGGGAGCAGTTAACCCCGGGGCCCGATCTGGCGTCGCCAGGGAACGGGCCTCTGGGGCGGGGGGTTCCCCGCCCCCTGGGGGGACTTGGGATCCCTAGTGGGTACCAGGAAAGGTACTGGAGGGTGACATGGCACCCATGGGCACCATGTTGAGGATTCCTGCTCTAGCAGTTAAACTGTACTTGTTTGTGCCTTCAGTAACAAAACTTTTTTAAAAGGATCTGCCAGTGTCAAACAGAGACAGTGGTTTACTTGTCAGAAAAGTTAAAAAAGACTATCCCAGATCATTTGTCATTGCAAGCCACTATGAACATTTATTCCTGAATAAGAAAGAAGGAACCTTCTGAAAGTAATTTTGTCAAAGTCTGTTTTTCTCTCCCTTCTTCTAGGATCTGGCTACGCCGCTGCAGAAAGACAGACCAATGAAGTGTACGTCGAGGAAACGCCACATGTTTCTCTCCCAGAGTACAGAGGTAAAAGTTATCAACCGTTTGGGCTTAAAGGTGCCACTGGACTCAAATTTTGTTCTTAAACCTTCTGTGAGGGGATTTCTTGAAAGGATGTTCCTGCCTAGACTGTACAGGCATTAGTGATTCTAAACAAACACTGTAACCCATTTATTTTTTCTTATTCTTAATCTGAATGTATTAATTTCCTTCCTTTGGGAGAATTAACCAAGAATCTACCACCTATCTTCAAGTGTTATCATTTATTTCATTTTAAAGTCCTTCGTCGCAAATTCTTAGTCTGCTGTTTTGGATATTATTTTTATTGATTTTTGGGGGGGAAACATAGGGTCATCTTTGGAATACCCACGGCAAAACCCCATCTCTTTGGATGCCCTGTCTCTAGTTATTGAGGCAAACAGAGCCAAGGAGACTAAAGACCAGTGGAAAGGCCCAGAGATCTCCCACCCCCATCTCACTTCCCCTAACTGCAGTTTTAGGGAATGTTTCTCTTCCGCAGCCACCTATTATTACTGTCACCATTTGTCTCCACAGTGTTTCTGTGGACCTTTTCCATAGTACCAGGAGGACAAAAGAGAGAGGAATTCATACGGAAGTTGCCAGGCAACCACCATGTGCATCCTCTCGTCCTTTCTGGGAACAGGCCTCCCTAGTCAGCCTGGAGAATGCCAGCCGTGGGATCCAGTGGGGACAGCCAGCAGCTGCTGTTTACTCTGCAGCTGGGTCGGTCTCAAGCAATAATGGATATTAAAAAGAAGAAATTAGTCAACACAAATCCAATTTATTGCGGTTGCTGAAACCAATTAGAGACAGCTGGTGGGGAAGTATACAGGCTAACTATGAGCAGAGTTTCGACAGAGCCAAGCTCCCAGACTTGTTGTCAGTGCCTGGAGAAAGTTAAGAAGAAATCAGGAAGAGAAGCCCATTTGTAGAATTACCTTCCTACTCAAGTGAAGACCTACAGCTAATTCACATATCAGAATATAGCAAAGTGGCCCTGACCTGGATAGCCCAGGCAAGCCCGATCTTGGAAGCTAAGCAAGATCAACTGTGGTTAGTACTTGGAAGGGAGACCTCCATGAAATACCAGAGGCAGGAGGCGGGGACAGGCTTTATCCAGCCATCTCTCTGAGTATCCTCCAGGCCCCCAGTAGGGGTCAGTCACAAGAGGTCAACCTGACTTCCAGGTGCAGACATACAAACACACACACAAAAATACCAAAAAGGGGGAAAGAATATAGCAAACTGCACCAAACAGTGTCTCAGATTATTAGTGCATCTCACTATTATCTGTTCTGAGTAGCAGTGGATCTCCGAGGCCTCAGGTCATGGTGCTTCTCAGCCCAATACCCACAGCACTACTAACTGGAGGTGTTAGGGTTTGAACCTTGGACCCATACTTGTTCTCTGCCATTGAGGCCTGGTTCACAAGTGCAGGAGAATGAGGTGGTAGAATGGCGAAGTGGCAGAATTGACTGCACCCTCTTCACATTAAAAAATCCACAAAAACAGAGAAGTCCAGAGAACGGAAAACAGCAAATGTGGAGGAAGAGTCCACCCCTCCACTCTGCTTGATGAGCTGGTTTTCTATTTGCAGACGTGTTTTGCTTTTAAACAGAGAAGATCATTCCAAAAATGCAGCCCTCCATTATCCTTCCTGTGAAGTCTGAAGAGGTACACCATCCATTCTACCATCTCATTCTCTGCATAGGTGAAGTGACTCCCTCACTCACAGATGGATTAAAATAAAGACATTAGACATCCAATTAGCAGGCCCAACTCCTTGGTTGACCTGAACCCTGGCATTTCTCATTTTTAGCCGGATGTGGGAAAAGGGAAATAACGCTGCAGAATTATTTTGGTAGTCCTTTGCGATTTCTTCCAGTGTTGCGATCATTACAGCTTTTGCTCTTGACAGGTAGAATTTGCAGTCAGGTTTCTCTTTCTCCTTCCCTCCAGTGGCCCAGTGGTGTCACCGACTAAATATTCAACATGGGGAGGCTACCTGCTACTCTCCCCGCGGAGGGAATTACCGCAGCAGCATGGGGGCGCGCTGCGAGCTCGCCTGCCACCGTGGATACCGCTTAATTGGCCGGAGGTCCGTCCATTGCTTGCTAAACCGCCGTTGGTCTGGGATGACCTACTGCAGACGTAAGTGACAGCCATTTGTGTTTGGATGTCAAACCAGTTCCTGTGACCTGTTCCCCCACCCTGGTCATTTTCAGGAAATCCTAACCAAGTTGTGCCATAGCCCATCTGCCACCGGGGATACCGCTTAATCGGCCGGAGGTCCGTCCATTGCTTGCTAAACCGCCGTTGGTCTGGGATGACCTACTGCAGACGTAAGTGACAGCCATTTGTGTTTGGATGTCAGACCAGTTCCTGTGACCCGTTCCCCCACCCTGGTCGTTTTCAGGAAATCCTAACCAAGTTGCGCCATAGCCCATCCTTCCCCTATGATCAACAGAGCTGTATCTATGCTCAGAGCAAATCAAAATCACATCAGACTTACAGCAGCTGTATGGGCCACCAAGGGCACTGGCCAGCACCACAGTACATTCCTGCATTTGTTTCTGAGAAATAGATTTTACGCATTCAGCAAACCCGCCGGCAAATTTGGCTCTCGAAATGACCTACAAGTGAAAGTAAAGCATGAGCCATCCAAAATATTATGAATAAAGACTATACAAAAACCCTGGCTGTGTCCGTTGCAAAACAGGTTAAACAAAAAAAAAATCATAAAAATCAGTAACACTTAAGAAGCAATAATCTCTTTTGAGAGCCTGTTTGGTGTAGTGGTTACGAACAGCAGACTCTAATCTGAATAGCCAGATTTGATTCCCCCACTCCTCCACATAAAGTCAGCTGGGTGACCTTGGGTCAGCCACGGTTCTCTCAGCACTGTTCTCTCAAGAGCAGTTCTTTCAGAGCTCTCTCAGCCCCACCTACCTCACAGGATGTCTGTTGTGGGGAGGGAAAGGGAAGGAGATTGTAAGCTGCTCTGAGACTTTGAGTGAAAGGTAGGGTATAAATCCTCCTTCTTTCCAAAACAAGCAGATTAGCTTAAAGTTAGCCAAAATGCAGCCAAAACAACAGAAGTCTTGTGGCACCTTAAAACCTAGCCAATTGATTTCATGAGCCAAAGACCAGCAGTACACTGGAAAAGCAGTAGAGCTACATGAACGAATAATAAAAGCTACTTTAAAAAACAATAACATAAATGCAGATGCTCTCTGCATAAATGCAGAGTCAGCAGAATGCCTGAATTATAGATAGTCAAGTCAGCAGAATGCCTGAATTATAGATAGGCCTTCACCCAATGCTAAAGCTTGAGACTGGCTGTCAGGCAGATAGATATAAGGGGAGCACTCAGAGCTAGACGATTGGCTAAGTATACCTAGGCAGCCACCACTCGTCCACACACTATTCTATCTCAAAGGGTTGTTAGGCAAAATGAAATTATGCCAGGCATAGTGCTCTGAGTTCCTATTGGACAGAATAGTTAAATGGAACCTCCAGATTCAGAGGCAGTATACCTCTGAGCACCAGTTGCTGGGAGGGAATGAAGCAGTGGAGGGCAGAACCATGTGTACTGCCCTGAGCTCCTTGGAGAAAAACCCAGGTGATATGATAAATAAGAGACTGAGGTGTTAACACCCTGCAGACATCTGCTTGGTCATGGGAAGCAGGATCACACCCTTTGGTATGATGGAGTCAAAGTCTCCTTATGTCCTAGATGTCATTAGTTTTATTTTAAGCAGGCAGCTGAGGTCATAACCTTTTCCTGGTTGGGCTTTGATATTTTTCACAGCTGTTAAAGGAGTTCAGCTGATGCTGTGTTTCTGGGCATGAGGATACAAGAAAGAGGAGGACTGCATTTTTTAAAAAAAAAATCATTTGCTGTTAGGAGCCGTCCTTGGCAAATCTGCCTCTCATTTCTGAAACATCAGATCTTTCAGAATTAAACGCCACCCTATAAACTACCGGCAAAATGCTGAGAACCAGTCTCCAGGTAAAAAAGAGAAGTAAACAGGTAGACAGGTCAGGAGGGCTTTGTTCTCAGGCTGCCTCTTCTCTACAGTGCTTCAGCCAGTGAGAAGCCAAATTAATTGCACGGGTCAAGACGGGGAACCATGTCAGTCTGTCTGTAGCAGTAGAAAAGAGTAAGAGTCCAGTAGCACCTTAAAAAGGTAAAGGTTCCCTTGCTCGAAAGCCAGTCGAGTCCGACTCTAGGGTTGCGGTGCTCATCTCCGTTTCCAAGCCGAAGAGCCAGCGCTGTCCGAATATGTTTCCGTGGTCATGTGGCCGGCATGACTAAACACCAAGGCGCACGGAGCGCTGTTACCTTCCCACCGAAGTGGTACCTATTTATCTACTTGTAATTTCTTGCTTTCGAACTGCTAGGTTGGCAGGAGCTGGAACTAGAGATGGGAGCTCACGCCATCATGCGGCACCCGGGTCTCGAACTGCTGAACTACTGACCTTTCGCAGCCTGCAGTTCAGCGTCTTAACCACTTGAGCCACCGCAGCTTAAAGGCTAGCAAAATAGCAAAGGCTTCCCCTCCGATGAATCCTCGGGCTTGTAGTTTCACGACCAGGCTCAAACTGGTGTATAGAAGCTGAACTATGAATCTGGAAGTTCCTGCTTCAAACTGCACTACAAACTCTCTAAGGGCTTTTAAGCAAGCCGCTCTCTCTCAGCATCGCCCCCACACTATGGGGATCATAATTCCTACTTTACAAAGTGGTTGTAGGGATAGCACGATTATGTATTTGAAAACTGTCATGCCAGTGTTAAGTCTCAGTTCTCTCTCTGGCTTCAGAAATCCGATGCCATACTTTGCAAGCGCTATACCATGGTTCGTACCAATGCTCAAATGGGGTAAAGCTCGACTCTCAGTGTTCCTACACCTGCCAGCCTGGATACCACCTGGAGGGGGATCGCAGACGCGTGTGCCTGGAGGACGGGCACTGGAGCGGCAGTGACCCAATCTGTGTAGGTAAATTCTCACCCTATTTAGGGTCCAGCTTTAAGCCTTCTCTCTCACACGCACCCGAGGCCCAAGTCACTGCTACGGTCCTCAGTCACCCCTCACATTATCTATTTATGTAAAACATTTAGATGCTGCCTTTACACCCAAATAGGGTCCCCACGCAGTATATTTAAAATAGCACCATGCTGGTAGGTTTCGTCCAGGGCTTTTTTTTTTGTAGAAAAAGCCCAACAGGAACTCATTAGCATAATAGGCCACTCCCAACAGCAGAAACTCATTAGCCTATTAGGCCAGACCCCTGACAGCACAGCTCATTAGCTTGTTCGGCCACACCCCCACTTTGCCAGAAGTGTGGTCATCCAGCCACGCCCACCTTTTGCTTCTTATTCTTTTTACCTTGTTTGTTGTCAAAACCCAGGGCTTTTTTTGTAGCAGGAACCCTTTGCATGTTAGACCACACACCCCTAATGTAGCCAATCCTAATGAGTTCCTGCTGTTGGGTGTGGCCTACTATGCTAATGAGTTCCTGCTGGGCGTGGCCAACTCGGGAGCCAGCCAAAACGCCGTTCCTGTGCGTTCCTGCTCAAAAATAGCCCTGGTTTCGTCCCCGATCAGTTACCTCAGAATAGGGCTAGCTCTAGCTTTCACTTTGTCAGTAGGGCTGCCAATTCCCGCTTGGGAAATTCCTGAAGATATTGGGTAGTGCTGTGGGGGGGGACATCAATGGGGATGTGATACTATACGGCCTGACCTCTGAAGGAGGCTGCGGTTTCTTCCGGGGGAGAACTGATCTCCGTAGTTTGGAGATCAGCTGTAAATTGAGGAGAACTCCAGGACTCTGCTGGAAACTGATAGCCCTATAGCTCTTTGTCATGCAGCATTTAGAAGAACAGAATCTCTATCCACAAAAGGATGGGAATCCTAAATGGTAGATTTTAGGTGATTTATGGTTTTTAATCTATATATGGAGAATAAAGGTTTGTCCACGCTACACGTGTTAAATTGGTGCTGCAACCTCCATCATTATCCTGGTTGCCTTATTCTGTAGATGGCTTTAGAAGGGGATTAGACAAATTCATGGGGAATAGGTCTATGAGTGGCTACTAGCCATGGGGAGTAAAGGGAACCTCCACATTCAAAGGCAGTAAACCCAGGGCTGGCTCGCTCACTAGGCGTTTGCCTAGAGCGCACCAGCCCTTAGGGGCGCCAAACTGCACCCGCCCTCCCACCAAAAGCCCCCCCCCACCTAAAGCCCTGCATTTCCATGGCCGGGTGACCCCTGCCACCAGCGCTGCCCGCCGCCTCTTTGGCCGGCTCACGTCTCCCTGCCTGCCCCCTCGGCTTCCCAGCGGAGTGCTTCTCCTCCTCCTCGCGGCCGGGGACTAGCAGCAGCAGCAGGAGCAGCAGGGCTGGGGGAGCGGCGGCTTGTGAGCGCCCCACCGGTCAGCTTCTTCTCCGGGTGCACTGACGAGGGGTGCCAAACTGAACCCGCCCCCTGCCAACCCCCCCCACTGGCTCTGACCAGGTAGGCGCACAGGGGGGGGCACGGGGGGGCGCCAGAAGGGATCCTCGCCTAGGGTGCACAATAAGCTGGGGCCGGCCCTGAGTAAACCTCTGACTACCACTGCCAAGAGGCATCATCAGGGAAAGGCCTTAGCCTCTATGCCCTGTTGGTGGAGCTGCCAGGTGTCTGGTATTGACTCGGACAGTCCAATATTTTCATGGAGGGGGCCGCTGAAAAAAATACCAGACATTTCAATGCTGGTTCGTACTTGGGCTGCCTTGGCACCACCTCCTCCAAGCCCAAACTGAGTGCTTTGCCTGCTCACCCTGCGAGGAGGCAGCGCCAAACTCAAGTGCAAAACAACAGCTATGGCTGCTGCTTTGCTCTGGGGCTGGGTGCTCCTCCCGTAGCAAACAGCACACTTGGTGCCGTTTGTGCTGAGGAAGGGAGGCGGTGGCTGAACTGCTGTTGCTTCACACCTGGGCTGGGTGCTCCTCCCACCGCAAACAGTGCGCTTTGTGCTGTTTACTCTAGGAGGAATTTGCAGAGTATTATTGTGTCTGTTTTGTATTTAAATATTCGGCAACCTTCGTTGTTGGACCTCCAGAGGAACTCTCTGGCCACTGTGTGAGACAATGCTGGACTAGATGGACTACTGCAGGGCTCTCTCTCCCCGATCCTTCCAGGGGTCCCCCTGACCCACCCACCTCAGAGTCGCCGGGGGTGTGTGTCACTCTCCAGGCCTTCCCTCTGTAGCCTCGCATGCAGAGGTTTTAGCTGTAGTGGGCGTGGTCAACTCTGAAGCCAGCCGGAACTCCGTTCCTGTACGTTCCTGCCCAAAAATAGCCCTGGGGATAGATAGCTCGAGCCAGTAACTGAAGTCACATTAGTACAGAAGAGAACAGAAACAGTCACTTGCCAATCTAGCCTGACATAGAAGCTCTTTTCCACTTGTGGTTTGTTTCCATGGAGTTCCTTCCAATTCTACCCAAGCAGATATAGACCCTCCAAAACTCAGATGCCCCGACTCTCGAGAGCGCATAGCAGAGCCTGACAAGCTGACCACCACGGTGTACTGGGACCGCCCGCGGGCCACAGATTCTGCTGACGGCGTCATCAAACAGTGAGCTTGTGGGAATGGCCCCCAGAACCTACTTCCTAGGGGGGATGGCTTCATTTGAGTCTGGAAACAAGGCCCCGCAGGGGTGAAAGGCCACTTCCCACCCACCACCCCAGCCTGACTCAGCTCTCTGTCTTTTGAGTCCAGCGTGATGCTCCGAGGCCCAGAACCAGGCTCTGAGTTCCCTGAGGGGGAGCACGTGATCCGCTACACCGCCTATGACCAGGCACACAACCGAGCCACCTGCAAGTTCGTTGTGAGAGTCCAAGGTAAGGTATAGGGAAGAGGACACTGACTTTTTTATACATCTAACCCCTGTATTTGTGGGCTGGAACTTTTCCATTTCAGGCTAGCCATGTAGCTACAGGAATTCCGAAAACCCTGGCCAGGAACTACCTTTGCCAGTTGACTACTTTGAAGCAGCCGAGCTTTTGATCCCAAACGTCCTGCCATACCATGATCACACACCTTACTTTCCCTTTCCTTATGCAAAATCTGGAGAAAGCTTACGTATATTATCTTCTTGTAACCCTTACAACAAGCCTCTAAGTTAGGTCATTACTAGTAGGGAAATGGGATTGTTGAGCAGGATGCATGGTTTGCGCAAGGCCACCTCATGAGTCCGTGACAGAAATTCAAACCGAGAGTTCCGGATTAATAACTCTGGCTAACCAACCTCTGTTGGCATACAGAATCTGCATTTACAGCACAGACACTTTCTCCTTGTGGGTACAGCTGCCAGTATTTAAGCTTCACAGTGGCTAGCCTTCACCTCCTGATGTGGGAAGTGACTGTGGAGAAACATGGAAGACTGAAGGAGCAGCTCAGGGCTTCTTCCTGGGCCTTCTAGTGCTTCTGTTAAAGCAAAGAGGGTTTTCTGTCTGTCCTCGAAGCTGACTAGTTTTCCCTCCTGCAGTGATCCGCTGTCCCGTTCTGAAGCCACCAGAACACGGTTACCTCACCTGCACCTCAGCTGGCAACAACTACGGAGCCACCTGCGAGTATCACTGCGACGGCGGCTACGAACAGCAGGGTACCCCCTTGCGGGTCTGCCAGTCCAACCGCCAGTGGTCAGGCTCTCAGCCTGCTTGCACACGTAAGTGGTTTTGGTGGGACCTATGCCTTTTTAAAAATCCCAGTCTTCCTCACAAGGGTGAGAGCCAGTTTGGTGTAGTGGTTAAGTGCGCAGACTCTAATCTGGGAGAACCGGGTTTGATTCCCCACTCCTCCACTTGCACCTGGCTGGATGACCTTGGGCAAGCCATAACTCTGGCACAGCTGTTCTTGAAAAAGAGCAGTTTCTGTCAAGAGCTCTCTCAGCCCCACCCACCTCACAGGATGTCTGTTGTGGGGAGGGGAAGGGGAAGGACTTTGTAAGCCGCTCTGAGACACCTTTGGGTAGTGAAGGGCGGGGTATAAATCCAATCTCTTCTCTTCTTCTTCACATAATTCTCCCCGCTTTCATGTTTTCCCCTCAATAAACATATGAGGGAGGTTAGGCTGTGAGTGAGCATCCCAAGGTCACACAGTCATTTTCATGCCCAAGCAGAGATTTGAGTTAGGGCTGCCAACCCCCCCCAGTAGGGCGGAATTCCCCCCGCCCCGGAGGCCCGTTACCCGACGCCAGGGAATCGGGGCCCGGGGGAAACTCCGCCCCGGCGTGCGCGTCACCCCGCAGTGACCTGGGGGCGGGGCCACACCATTTTAGGGGAAAACAAAGTTTTCCCCTCAAATGGCGTGGCCCCGCCCAGCGTGTGACGTCACTTCCGGTGACGCTCTGGCGGTGCGCGCGCACATCCGCAGACGGCTCCCGGACCGGCAGGACGCTCCCCCGCCGATACGTTTTTCGGATTTGGCAACCCTAATTTGAGTTCTGGTTTCCACAGCTCTAGGTTGACAAAGTAAATGCGGCACTTCTCAGCAGGTTGATGTTGACAGCATTGTACAAGGATGACATCAGTGGCAGATGTGATTTGGAACAAATGATATTGAAGGAAGGAATATTAGATTCAGTTGTCATGTTAAATATTGTTGGCTGTTTCCATGATTTACTGGGCCCACATTGTACGTCCCTCCCCTTTCTCCACTACCAAGTATGGAAGGAGGCATGGATGGTACGAATAGGAACCACAGAACAGGCCAGTCAGAATAAGCAAGATGAGCTAGCGATTCCATACTTGGCCCATGCTACGCTGTAGCAGGCTACCCAGAAACAAACTGCCTTGGGCCCCATCAAGACTCACCCAGGTGGAGCACGGCGGGACCAAGGGCAGAAAGTTGCAGTAGCCTCAGGGCCGGCCCTCCATCGAGAATTTTTAGGCAACGGCCTAGAGCGACCCTTTAAGAGGGGGTGCCCCGTGGCTGCTGGCCTGCCGCGACCCCGCACGGCAGCGGCGGAGACCGGCTTCCAGGTGTGCTCCTCCAGGGACTCCGCACTGCTCCGGTCTCCAGTGGGCCCCCTGCCGGGCTCTGCCCCACCCCACATTCTGACGCCAGCCTCGGGCAGCAGAGCCTACCTGCTGCCACCCTCGCTCCCTGGCTGCCGCGCGCCCACCAGTGTTCCCTCTAAGCTGAGTTAGTGTGAGCTAGCTCACAATTGTTTAGCCTCTGGCTCACACATTTTTGTCTTAGCTCAGGAAGGATGGCTCCATGGCAAAGTAATTTATGCAGTAGACAAATTGCTTGCTCACAGCTTTAATACCAGTAGCTCACAAAGGAGAACTTTTGCTCACAAGACTCCACAGCTTGGAGGGAACATTGGCGCCCACCCACCAAGGCCATGCTGGGCAAGGACTACATGCTGGCCATCATCCTGGTCAACTGCAACAGCCGCCCCCTTCCTGGCAGAAAAGCAAGCAAGCAGCCGGGCTGAGGCCATCCCCCGGCTGCACCCGTCCCCTTCTTCCCTCTTCTTCTTCTTCTTCTTCCTTGGGGCTGTCATGCTGGGGTGGGGGGCACCAGAAGGTATCCTCGCCTAGTGTACAAAAAAACCTGGAGCCGGCCCTGAGTAGCCTCAGCAACAGGGCAGCCTTTGCAGTCTGGCCCAGGGGAGCTCAAAAGGAGTGTGGAGGCAGGGAGCAAACCTTCCCCATCCCTCGTAACCCCTCCCCCCAGGGAAGCTGGGGAGCTGAATTTTTTTCTCCCACCATCTAGTATGTGTATACTGTTTTTATCTATTGATCGTCTTTTAGGTGGTTTTAATCTTGATTTTAGGAGCTGCGGTGGCTCAAGTGGTTAAAACGCTGAACTGCAGGCTGTGGAAGGTCGGTAGTTCAGCAGTTCGAGACCCGAGTGTGCCGCATGACGGAGTGAGCTCCCGTCTCTGGCCCCAGCTCCTGCCAACCTAGCGGTTCGAAAGCAAGAAATTGCAAGTAGATAAATAGGGACCACTTCGGTGGGAAGGTAACAGCGTTCCGTGCGCCTTGGTGTTTAGTCATGCCGGCCACATGACCACGGAAACGTCTTCGGACAGCGCTGGCTCTTCGGCTTTGAAACGGAGATGAGCACCGCAACCCTAGAGTCGGATTCGACTGGCTTTCGAGCAAGGGAACCTTTACCTTTACCTAATCTTGATTTTAATTTAAATAATTTTGTATATGACTTTGTTGTAAGCTGCCCTGAGCCCTGCTTGTAGGGAAGGGCAGCCTAGCAAATCTAATCTAATAAATAAATAAGAAATTATAGTGGAAGAACAAGAATTTGGTATGTTCCACCCATTGTCCCAGATTCCTTTCTGGACTGCCAGTTTCCATCTTGGCCGTGCCCCGGCCCATGAGGGTTTGACTTGGCCTTGCCCCTGGCATCAGTTATACAATAATATTGGCAGCTTTCCTCCAAGATGCTAGAAACTTCACAGGTTCTACCTCCTGATAAACTATAAAGGCACAAAAATTCTCTACTTTTCTCCCCGTCTTCTCCCCCTTACCTCAGCCATGCGGATCAACGTGGACGTGAACTCTGTAGCTGGCCTCATGGACCAGTTCTACGAGAAGCGCCGGTTGCTCATAATCTCGGCTCCCGACCCCTCCGACCGGTACTACAAGATGCAGAATGCCATGTTGCAGGCAAGTCTTTCTGGGCCTTCTGCATCCCCCACTGTCCTTTGCCCACCCCACAGACTCGGCACTAACCGAGCACTTTTCTCTCCTACACAGCAAGACACCTGCGGGCTGGACTTGCGTCACATCACTATCATCGAGCTGGTGGGGCTGCCACCCCATGAGGTGGGACGGATTCATGAACAACGGCTCTCGGACGACGTCATAGAAGGGCTCAGGTTAGTGCGAGCAAGCTAAGGACGGGCAAGAATCCGAACTGGGCGCTCCGGGCACCGGCATTTCTGGATAAGCAGATTCCGCTGTTCAGTATAGGAAAGCCAGGGTGGTGGCAGCAGATAGTGCACTGGGACTCAGGAGGACTGCTTCAGATCTCCACTCTGGAATGAAGAGTGGCCATTGAGGGGGTGACCTCAGTAGGTACTAGTATTTGTGCAGAACCTGCCACACACAACTGAGAGGTTCAACGAGAAAGGACAGAACAAGGATCTAGTAGCACAAATGAGGTTGTTGAGATAAGTGAACAGAATGCACCACTTGAGACGGAGATGCACCGGAAGGTACAGCAGAGGGCAACGGCCTTGGGCTCCTACCAAGTCCCAGTAGGGCCCAGGGTCCCCCGTGACACCTCGAGTCACAATGGGAAAGATCTCAGGCGTGTCTGAGATCTGGCTCCCAAGATTGTCCTTAAGGACCGATTCTGCATGAGGGAAGCCATTTCCATCTTAAAGTATGCATCCCTTCCACCCCCTAACGAGTCCTTCAAGGAGAATGGCCACAGTCCATTCTTGCAAGCAGCTTCAAGCAGCTTATACATAAGAAGCTGATACTTCATTTGCCATTTTGTTTTTTTGTAACTTTGTACCCTTGTTTTGAGGCAGCTGCTTCTGTTTTACTGTTGACAGCTGCAAAAGCTGAAACTGTACCGGTGTCATGAGCTGGCCTCAGTACTTTTTCCCGGAGAGGCAGCGAACCCTTTAAAGACACAAAATTAAAACCACAAACTTCAACTTTGTGGCTCCTTCTCTCAGCCATTAATTCTCTCTTGTGCTGTGCAGGGAGATGGGTTATTCAAGGCCTTTCTCCTTTCTGCAGGCAGTTCCTGCACGTCACCCGTTCCCGCTTCAACATGGTGTTTATTGACAAAGACGGCGTGGACCGTGACCGCTACATCCAGCCCGTCGCCCCTGAAGAGCTCTTCTCCTTTGTCGATACCTACCTGCTGACCAGCCAGGAAGAGCTCCAGAGGGAGCAGAATAGGGACACCTGCAATTGACGGTAGCCCCGCCACCTGTAAGGGCATTGGTAGACCTCCGACTCCCTCACCTGCTAAAGAATCAACTGGGCCTTTCCTTTTAAGCATCGTACTTGACTGCAGAGGAAAGAAGAATTGCCAACTCTGAACCTTTGGACAGAGCACAGGTTGCTTCTCCAGGGCTCTGTCACTGCAACACAGATGGCTACAAAAATAGGGCTGCCTTCACACAAACATTAAGGTGACTTGTAGGGATTGCACGGGAGTGCACACCTGACTTCCGCAGTGGTGCTGTCAAGGTTAGGCTTTGGGGAGTCCAGGGCCCTGACTCCTGGGCTCAAGAGGAGGAGGAGAGGCAGGCAGTAGCTTCACACATGAAGTCTACATGTTCATCTAAAGGGTGTTCCCCCATAAGACCATTAAGTCCAGATTATGTAACTGCACCACTGACCCTTTGTGCAAGGTAGATTCAGTTGGGTAGCTGTGTTGGTCTGAAGCAACAGAACAAAGTTTGAGTCCGGTGGCACCATTAAGACCAGCAAAGTTTAATTCTGGGCATGCACACTTTGTGCAAGGGTATGCATTCCCCAGGTGGAGGATCCCTTTCACAGAGGTCACTACAGGATATAAAAAACCCCTCTGTTTTATCAGTATCACCTTTGCCCTTAGTCAATAGAGGAAGCTTCATTCTGATTCTGTTCATTGTATGAGTAGAGACACCTGCTCCTCTTTCCAGAGTGTGCAACTTTCCCTCTCTGCTCAGTTTTAGCTCCCTTACAGGTAAAGCATTCTGTGGAGTTGCAACCAACTCATGGTGACCTGATGAGTTCCACCTGATGGGGTTTTCAAGGCAAGAGATGAGCAGAGGTGGGTTTTGCCATTGCCTTGAACTCCCTTGGCTCACTGAAAAAGAGATTATGAAAACTAACACAGAACAGTTGAAACAGATGCAGCGGCCTACAACGTTTCGTTAACTGCATCATGCAAAGCAGTACAGCTACAAATCTAGCCACTAAAGCCCTAATCCAGACCCTAACACAGAACACCAGGAGGAGAGCCAGAAGGCTCAAACTTCTTATCAATAAAGAAATGAAGCAATGGTTTCAAACAGAAAAAAAAATGTCCTGTGACTTTTGTAAGGGGGAATGGGAGAGGTCACGAAATTAAGAAGGGCAATCCAGCTTCTTAGCTTGGGAGCAGAGGAGGAAAAGATTTTTATTTTATTTTTTGCTGCTTACACCCCTAAGCTTTGCTGCGCATAACTAATGCCCAGCAATGTGCTCAACAGCACCATGGGCACACAGGAACACGAGTCAGTGGGGGAAAGAATGGAGATTCACAATGGGGGATTTCCGCAGTCTTCTGCCCTATTTATTTGGCAGGGGCTCCCTCCTGCCTGCTATGGGCGGCCACCGTACACCACCCACCAATTTGCAACTCTGGCTTTCTCCTCCTCTCTCTGAGCAAAAGAGTTATTCCTGCCAGATGGGACTGCCTTATCCAAATGAATATAATGTGTTGGGGGGAGGGGGGGTGTCAGGGGAAAATAGACACAAGAAGTAGGGAGAAATGTGCAGCACAGCTGACTATGGCTCAGCCAGGAAGCCCACCGCACTGTTAAGACTGAAAAGCTTTGTGCGTGCAACAGAACAGGCTTGATCTGCTTTAGACTGCAAATGTGCCAGCACGAAGGGAAGAAAGACTACTTTGAATGCTCCCCTCTGTTAAACTCCCCAAAAGATGCCAGAGGTTCCAACCCCTTCCTAGCTTGGTTAAACAGGGCACTTCCAAGACCGATTGCTACACCCCTCAGAGTGCACATTCTCTGTTTCAAGCCAGCCTCACAAGCCACAGATCCACAGGACGGCAGGCTGAAACCCCCCCCCCCAAATACTGAAGTGCATCCTCCCTCACTTTCTATCCACTTGACCTTACAAGGCTAACGCCGCAAGGGACATTTGATTTCTGCAGCCTCCAGCTCGTATACTTGAACTTTATTTCGATCACCCCAGCCCAGCGCTTGAAACAAAAGACATTAAGCAGGAACAGATGTAGAAAGCAGGCTGCCCTTGAAACCTTTACAAAAATAGCAGACACAGGGCAAAGGAAGAGGAGGAAGAAAATAGAACATGGAAAACAAGTTAAGAGGCGCTTTCGGATCCACCCGCCCCCAGGAAAGGGTCTCCATGGCATCCACAGGGAGCCTGCAAGGAATCCGGCTCCAACGGAGTTTCAAAACAAGGCCCCATTAAAAACAGCAGCCTGCCAAGAACCACCCTCCAGAAAGAGCTGGCTTCTAAGGGCCACCGCAAAATTCCCTTTATTGCTACACACTCGGCGACAGGAAGCCTTGCTCCAGCTTCTCTTTAAGAGAGCTGCTCTCCAGCAAAGTGGTGGCCTTGGTCCTCTCCTTGGCCTCCTGTTTGCGGCCCCCAGTCAGGCAAGAACAGGGTTTACGGCTTGGGCCTAGCCATGGTGGAGCGAAGCGGAAGCGCGCCTTCTGCCCAAGACCCCGGGTACTTGCACATCTTCTGCCACAGGCTGATCTCCTCGCCCGTAGAGTCCATCCAGTCCACCATCTGGCCATTACTCATTCCTGAAACGGAGCAAAGAGATGAGAGAGGAAGGAAGGCAGCGGCCGTGGGCATCCCCAGGGCAGGGGTAGAACCCATTCATGCTCCAAAAGGGGGGGGGGTGGGCGCTCGGTATATACAAAAGCCAAGCCACGCGCATGCCTTCTCTTTCCTCCTTGAGTCACGCTGCGGCGGGGGCACACAACGGCGAGTGAAGGGAAGGCATTTAAAGCTTTCCCTTCCCCCACTGAGACATGCCGCTGCTGCGACACGACTCAGGGAGGGAAGGTGCACGCGGCTTGGCTTTGCAAAAGCCATCTGAAGATACATCCCTTCCCTTGCTGAGGCGTGCAGCAGTGGCACACCTCAGCAAAGGAACGGACGGTATTTAAAGAGACCACCGCCTCTTTAAATGCATTCCCTTCTGTTGCTGAGGCCTGCTGCCGCTGCAGCACAACTCAGGAAGGGGAAGTATGGCGCCAAAGAAATTGGGATTTGGGAATATCAGTTTACAGCTATATTTTTCAGGTTTGGTATACCCTTCTCCAGTGAAATGGACCTTAAGTTGCTGGGAAAGACCCTCAACTTGAGACAACTGAGACAATGCCAAGCTAGGCAGATGGCAAGAATAGTGCGCTCCTTCGCGAAGACCCGATCCCCATGCAACATAAGCAGCTTCCTCACCATTCCCAACCCCCAGCCGGACTCCTCCCAGGAAGTCGTTGCTGGACAAGGGCTCTCGGTCCCACACCGTAAGCTCCAGACAGATGTGGGGTAGTTCTTCCACAGCGACCTTGTTGTAGACGAACGTGTGGTTGTAGTGGGGATTTAGGCTCTTCTTTACGACTGGTGTTTTCCTTTTGGTGGCCCTGTTCCGCAGAGGGAGCAAGTACCTGCCGACAAGAGGCATGTTTCTTTATCACGTCCATCACATCCTGCCTTTCTGCTGGCAAGACTGTCGAGGTGGCTTGCCTTCCAAGAAACACCAAGTGCCACATACAAATTATATCAGCTGAAACAACCAATGACCTAAACACCCATGAGCAGGGCTCTAGTCGGGGGGGAGCTCTCAGGTACGGAGCTCCGGAAGAGAACCTCTAGGGGGCGGGGCGGTCACGTGGTGAAGCCCCGCCCCCTTCTTTACCCCGCCCTCTGCTTCGATCCTCATTCCGTTTGGAAATGAGGATGAAGCAGGAGGGTAAGTAGCCGGGCCTTCTGACACACTTCCGGTGATGTCAGGGGGTGTGGCCTTCTGTCACTTCCAGTGATGTCAGGGGGCGTGGCATATGCAAATAAGTTATGCTAATGAGTTATGCTAATGAGCTCCGGCAGCTCTTTTTCTACAACAAGACCCCTGCCCATGAGTATAGCAAAACTGGCAGCTGCAAAGGAGACGGGCAACAAAACTGCACAGGGAGCGCCATCTGCCAAAAGCGTGAGGAAGATTTTGACTGGGCCACCCAGTCTGTAATTAAACCTTAAAAAGTAGTCATGAGAAGGGCCCCAATTTGAATCAAGGCTAGAGCAAGAGGAGTGTCCACCTTTTTCTTCCCAAGATGTTTCGCCGGATGGAAAAATCAGGTCTCCATGCTGCTGTTAGGAAAAGAGGCAGGTACAGTGCACTGTGGGTGATTTCCCACAAGCGCTGCTCCGCGCTCACTCTTCTCTTTGCCCCGATGGTACGTGTCAATTTCACACAAGCTGCTGCGCGGCCGTATTTTGCCCTGCAGCTTCACGCGATTTCCCCGGCGTCTACTCAATCCTCAAAAAACAGGATTGAGTAGATGCGGGGAAAATCATGCGAAGCTGTGGAGCAAAATGCGGCCACACAGCAGCTTGTGTGAAATTGACACGTACCATCAAGGCAAAAGGGAGGAGTGAGCGCGGAGCAGCGCTTGTGGGAAATCACCCTGAGTTTCTGTTTCCCAGCACCACCAGGGTGAGAAGTAGCTGGGGGATAGGGGGTGACTTGCACGGGGGAAATAGTATGTGCAAAAGGGTCGACCACCCTCCATCTCTCAGCCCATTAAGAACATAAGAGAAGCCAATGTTGGATCAGGACAGTGGCCCATCTAGTCCAACACTCTGTCACACAGTGGCCAAAAATACCAGGCGCCACCAGGAGGTCCAGGAGTGGGGCTAGAACACTAGAAGCCCTCCCACTGTTGACCCCCCAAGCACCAAGAATACAGAGCATCCCTTGCCCCAGGCTGAGAGTTCCTATCTATACCTTGTGGCTAATAGCCACTGATGGACCTCTGCTCCATATGCTTATCCAATTCCCTCTTGAAGCCGTCCATGCTTGTAGCCGCCACCACCTCCTGTGGCAGTGAATTCCATGTGTTAATCACTCTTTGGGTGAAGAAGTACTTCCTCTTATCCATTCTAACCCAACTGCTCAGCAATTTCATTGTGCCCCCACGAGTTCTTGTATTGTGAGAAAGGGAGAAAAGTACTTCTTTCTCTACCTTCTCTATCCCATGCATAATTTTGTAAACCTCGATCATGTCACCCCTCAGCCGTCGTTTCTCCAAGCTAAAGAACCCCAAGTGCTTTAACCTTTCTTCATAGGGAAAGTGTTCCAACCCTTTTATCATTTAGTTGCCCTTTTTTCAATGCTTTAATATCCTTTTTGAGGTGTGGTGACCAGAACTGTACACAGTACTCCAAATGAGGTTGCACCATTGATTTATACAGGGGCATTATGATACCAGGTGATTTGTTTTCAATTCCCTTCCTAATAATTCCCAGCATAGTGTTGGCGTTTTTATTGCAGTCACACACAGTCTCAACATTTTCAGTGAGAAGAAGAAGAAGAGAAGAGATTGGATTTATACCCCGCCCTTCACTCGGAGTCTCAGAGCGGCTTACAAACTCCTTTCCCTTCCCCTCCCCACAACAGACGCCCTGTGAGGTGGGTGGGGCTGAGAGAACTCTGACACAAACTGCTCTTTTTCAAGGACAGCTGTGCCAGAGCTTGGGACTGACCCAAGGTCACATCAGCAGGTGCAAGTGGAGGAGTGGGGAATCAAACCCGGTTCTCCCAGATTAGAGTCCGCGCACTTAACCACTACACCAAACTGTTATCTACTATGACTCCAAGATCTCTCTCTTGGTCAGTCTCTGCCAGTTCGGACCCCATCAACATGTATTTATAGTTAGGATTTTTGGCCTCAATGTGCATGATTTTGCACTTGGCCACATTGAACCCCATTTGCCATGCTGATGCCCACTTGCCCATCCTCGACAGATCCCTTTGGAGTGCCTCACAATCCTCACTGGTTTTCACCACCCTGAACAAATTTAGCCACTTCACTGCTTACTCCCAACTCCAAATCATTAATGAACAAGTTAAAAAGCATCGGACCGAGTACTGATCCCTGCGGTACTCCACTGCTTACCACCCTCCACTGAGAAAAATGCCCATTTATACTCTCTGTTTCCTATTAATTAGCCCGTTTTTGATCCACAAGAGGACTTGTCCTTTTATCCCATGACTACTGAGCCCATTCCAAAATCCAGGCTCTTTGCCAATGCTTTTTAAGGTTAAAGTCCATGTCACAACATCAGCCATGGGCCTCCAATGTAAACACGTACTTTGACTCTCACTGGGTATCCCAAAGGTATCAGGTGTTTATCTTTGGGAAGGGATGACAGGAAATGCAACCCTATCTTCAAAGGCCACTCACCTAACCTTGGAAGTATACCTGATCCCAGGTATCCATCAGTGGAGCTCCTCTTGAAAAGCAGTTGCAGGAGGCAGCATTAACCCCTCCCCCAGGTATCTTTCCTGTATCAAAGCTGCCCCTCCCCCCGCTGCTTTTACCCAAGCTGGGAGAACAAAGACCACCAAGTCCCCCAATTGCACCTTTCTTTTTTCCCCCACCTATGAAGGCTAAAAGCAGGTGGGGGGAGAAAAATGCTCGGGCATGTCTGATCTGTGAAAAGGGAATAGCAATCTGTGTGAAAAAGACATTAACATTAGTTCAAGAATGACCAAAGTATTAATACAAATACAACCATATAATCACTATATTAAAGTGGAAGAGTTTCTTCTTGGAAGATGTATCAAGAAAAAATAAACGAAGAACCTGGATATTAAGAACTCCCGTTTCGAAGAACTTCCTCAGTAAGTGAGAAACAATATCTTGAAGTAGATGATACGCACTCTTGTGAGTTACAGCAAATATATCTCATCAGGGCTTTTTTTGTAGAAAAAGCCCAACAGGAACTCATTAGCATAATAGGCCACACTCAACAGCAGAAACTCATTAGCATAGTAGGCCACACCCCCATGTTACCAGAAGTGTGGTCATCCTGCCACACCCACCTTTTGCTTGTTATTCTGTTTACCTTGTTTGTTGTCAAAACCCAGGGCCTTTTTGTAGCAGGAACTCCTTTGCATGTTAGGCCACAAACCCCTAATGTAGCCAATCCTAATGAGTTTCTGCTGTTGGGTGTGGCCTATTATGCTAATGAGTTCCTGCTGGGCGTGGCCAACTCAGGAGCCAGCCGGAACTCCGTTCCTGTGCGTTCCTGCCCCAAAATAGCCCTGTATCTCATAAATGGGCAGTTATTGACAACACATCTCAGGAAAAGCTCAAGGCTTTACGTCACACTTCCTTCCATAATTAGGCAGTAATGTGATATATGAGCATCATGTGCCGTTTAACCTTCACTTGAGAATGCAAGACAAGAAGTACAATGGAAGGGAACTTTTCCGATGACCCAACCTTTGCCTTCTCCCCCCCCCCCCCCCCCCCCGCCAAGCCAAATCAGTGCTGCATCTGGACAGGGAAACACTCATTAAAATGGTCTCTACCTCCAAGCTCCGCTCCCTTTCGTAATCCAATCACAAAAGGCTCCAGTTCACTCACCCCTTGACAAAGCTGTCAGACGTCCCCCCAGATTTGAGTGCTGTCAAGTTCTTGGCCTCTTTGATCCAGACCTGAAGTTCACCACCTTCTTCCCTTTTGCCTACAAGAGACACGGGTGGTGAGACAAAATGGCACCAGGCCAATGCAAAAGCACCCCACAAGCTTCCTTTAACCATGCAACAAGGAACCAGAAATTTGAGAACTCCCAAGAACCATGGGGGTTTTTAAAAAATCAAATAGCAAAATCAAGTTTCTAGACCTCACAGGAAAAAAATGAGGAAATGAACAGGCAGTGCCTGATGAGAAACCAGGAAGTTGTCATCTACATGGCTCACGTTGCAGTTGGGGGGGGGGGGGAGCTGCTAAAGTGTCCTGAATCCTTACCTTTTCTTCCATTCCCTGCATTGGGATGCTTAGCAGGTGGGATGTATTTTAAGGAAACCACCAGCTCGCCTTTGTATTGAGGGGAGGCAGCCGAGTCACCACCATCCTAGAAGACAAAAAGGCAATCCAATATGTTGAAGTGAGCTCTGCTCTTTGTGGACTGGAGATCAATGCAACCAGCTTCTCGGCACGAACATGGCTTGCTAGCTCTCCCAGCTTTGCTGTGCACCAGTGCCACACCTGACTTGAGCTATTCAGTGATTAAGGGGACGTGTACCACTTTCCATTTAGGTGCCATACATATTTTTGCAGAGAACTCTCCACATCTGTTTCTTTGACCAGGGCTGCGGCCTAAGATGCAAATGATGACAGAGAGCTAGAAACTCCATTGGCCAGCTTCACTGCAGCTTCCCTGGAGCACAGCAACACCACCTTTAAGAGAAGCTGAGCTCAAGTGAGGTCAGAAAATAATATAGGAGTTGAAGTATTATAACAAGGGCATAGCAAGGTGTGTGATCCCCCAAAGACCTCTGGTAAAAGGGAGGCTACCAGTATCGGAGGCAACCCCATCCAGCTTTCTTTTCTAGGTATTGAAGAAGACACAAGAAGAATATAATAGAATATGATATAGAGGAAGTTGCATGGTGGTATTATAAGCGGGTAATATAAGGAAGTAAGAAAAAGATGAGGGTATAAAACAAGATTGGGATTAAGTTATAAACAGGCGATATGTCACCTCAATGGTTGTTTTTGTTTTTTTAGTTTTAAAAGGAGTATAACATATTTGGAAAGAATATCCGTATGAAATTGTAACATATACTCAATAAAAATAATAATAATAATAATTAAAAAAAGAAAAGTGACCATGGATGCAGCACACACCTTGCCATGGAGCGGGAGACACTCCTCCAACTGGTTCTCGAAATTCCAGGAGGCCATCGGAACCTCTGCCTCTCCCAAGAACGTATTTCGGCCAAAGCGGTCATGATGCCAGACTGAGAACTGGAGAGTCCTGGTCATCAGGAGGGATTTGTTGATCTCATACTAGAAAGAGAGATCAGAAAGAAGGTGAACCTTCAGCAAGGGTAGCCACCGAAGTATATTTTGAAAATTCAGTCGCACCTTTAGAGCTTTCACGAGATATGTACCTGCCTCGTCTGATGCTAATGGAATTGTTAAATGCAAACTGAGGAAAGTATCATATCTAATTCCCAAGATGACCCAACCGTGCAGATCAAGACATCCACACAATGGGGCCACCCAGGAATAGGGCAGTTGTTACTGCAGGAAAATCTAACACCTAAAAACAAAAAAGGAAAGGAGGAAGAAATTAGAGGTTAAGCCTTGCTGTGCAGAATCACTGATGCAACGATGCAGGCATTGCAACTTTAAAAAATGACAACCAGAAAAATGCACTGACATTCTCTCAGTTCACTGAAGACTGCCATAAGACCTTGAGCAAATTCAATGTTACATGCTGTCCAAGAGAGGAAGCCTCAACATGTTTGTGGTTACCTAGCAACCCTCAAATGGCCATTGAGATCTTACAAGCATAGTCCCATGAGATCTCTGCAGCCATTATGGGGCTAAACAGCAAGCAGGGGAGGAGGGAGACAGAACAACTCTGGAGGGAGGCAATGGGCAAGGGGTGACCAGCAGGTGGGAAATGACTATTTACTTAGAATCATAGAAACATAGAGTTGGAAGGGACTTCCAGGGTCATCTAGTCCAACCCCCTGCACAATGCAAGAAATTCACAAATGCCCCTCTCTCTCTCTCACACACACACATGCACACAGAGTGGCCTGTGTTCCATGCCCAGAAGGTGGCAAAAAAAACCCTCCAGGATCTCCGGCCAAAGTAGCCTGGCGAAAAATTGCTTCCTGACCCCAAAGTGGTGATCAGCATTTCCCTGGGCATGTAAGAAAGAGCCACGAGAACTAAGCACTGATGGAACCCTTCCTGCCCCTCCCTTCTCGTGATCTCCCTACTTGCCCCAGGAGTCCTCCTATGTCCCCCACTTGTAGCTGAACCCTCACCTTTAGCATCTCATTGTACAAGGGGTTGACGGTGCTCCGTTTGATGGTGGTTTTGCGCTTCCCTTGTCGGGATTTGTCTGGAAGAAGGTACGTCTTCACATACCTGAAGGAATCAAAGGGATACATTTCACCCCACCTGTCTGCAAGCTGCACAAATGAACACACGTACACGCTGTCTGCACAGCCCCCTTTTTTAATGGTGATGAGGTCCATGAAACAGGTCGACCTGGGGTAAAGCAGTTATGCACATTCATAAACATGCCGGGGGACTGTAAGTCTCCAATTAAGCCCCCAAAACCATTTTCAGATGGTTTGCATTGGTGCACTGAGCCACTGAAGCGGCACGTTGCTTCAGAATGCAGCCAGCCTGCTATACAGTCACCGTGCCGACAGAAAGCTCTCCTCTATCAAAAGCGTATGTGACAGGGCTTGAGAGCACCCATCCGAATGCTAAGCCTGAATTTAGCTTCTCCTTGATGTGCAGCTGAGTGTCTCTAATCCCTTTAGATGAAAAGCACCCACGTTTGATCAGACCAACGGCCCATCAGGTTCAGTGTTCTGTTAGAGACAGAGGCCAACCAGATGCTCCTTGAAAGCCAACAAGCAGGGCATAGAGGCAAAGGCCTCCCCTCTTCCTGCCCCCCCCCCAGCCACTGATACTCAAATGATTACAACCTCTGAACATGGAGGTTCTGTTTATTCATCATGGCCAGAAGCTACTGATGGACCTGTCCTCCCTGAATACATCCACAACAGTGTTCCCTCTAAGCTGAGTCAGTGTGGGCTAGCTCACAGTTTTTTAGCCTCCGGCTCACACATTTTTGTCTTAGCTCAGGAAGGGATGGCTCCAGAGCAAACTGATTCATGCGGCAGCCAAATCGCTCGCTCACAAATTTAGTGCCAGGAGCTCACAAAGTAGAATTTTTGCTCACAGGACTCCACAGCTTAGAGGGAGTCCATGCCCCTTTTAAAGTCAACTAAACTAATACCAGCACTTCACCGCCAGGGGGCAGCAGTGACTGAACACCTGCACGGCGATACCGCCCCCCCAAGGACAGAAACTCCCGTGTCAAGCAACTAAGGAGAAGAATAACGGTGGTTTACAAACTAATATTTGCCTGTTCTGACAGCATGGTAAATGATAGCTCAGCTTCCTCATACAGGGCTTGGGACCTACCGGTAGTGTGATCTGAGCTGCCAACTTTGTTCCCACAGCTTCGAAACTCACCAGGCTCTTTCCTGTCAGAACAAGGCCCAAGCTGACCCCTTCCCGATAAGCAGGCGAGCCCTGCTGCTGCAGCTCCCCCCCCCCCATACATTCATAGAAATAGAGCCGGAAGGGACCCCAAGGGGTCATCTAGTCCAACCCCCTTCACAATGCAGGAAATTCACAACTACCTCCCCCCTGCCCCACTCCCCCAGTGACCCCTGCTTTATGCCCAGAGGAAAGCAAAAAAAAAAAAAACCTCCAGAATCTATGGGCCAAACTGGCCTGGATGGAAATTCCCTCCTCACCCCAAAGAGGCCATCGGCGCTGGCCCATCCCTTCCTGCCCCCCCCCCCCCCCACAGTGGGCCT